CCTCGAACTGTTACTGTACAGGGTCTAAGCAGCCTTCATCACACACCATTGTGTATTCTTCCCAAGGTGCTTTCTGTGCCTTACTTCTCTATTTGGAAGCAGGAACCACATTTCTGTCTTTCACAGGGATATCATAGGTACTCAAAAATGCATTTTAACTGAGCCTATCTAACAGATTTTCCTAAACTGTACATGAGGACAAATATTCCAGTTTTTATTTTCCAACAATCCTGGGAGAGCTCAGTATAATAGATGACAGGGCATGGGCTTTGAAGTCAAACCAATGTAGGTTTAAATTCTACCTCTGGCCAGGCACTGTGGTGTATGCCTGTAATCTCAGCAGCTCAGGTGGCTGAGGCAGGAAGATTACCAGTTCAAAGCCAGCCTCAGCAACTTACAGAGGCTCTAAGCAACTCAGTGAGACCCTGTCTCTGAATAAAATACAAAAGGGGCTGGGAATGTGGCTTAGTGGTTGAGTGTCCCTGAGTTCAATCGCTATTACCAAAAAAAAAAAAAAAAAAAAAAAAAAAATTCTGCCTCTGCAATTACCTGTTTTGTGATCTTAAACAAGTAAGACCCTCCCAAAATCTGTTTCATTATCAGTAGAATCCTAACTAAAGCTCTTTTGTCTAGTTAACTCAAAGGATAAAATGAGGTGATGCATATAAAGCCTACAGTAGGATACCCAGCACATACTAAGCACTAAGTAATGATGACTACTGCTATTAAGCCACTTACCTGGCCCCCAGCTTGCCTCAAGGCCTAATGAAAGGAGGGTGGCTCCAGGGTTCTCAAGCTGGCTGGACAATCTGACCAATGCCCTGGGTCAGCAAAGCTGCAGAAGTGCCTACAGGAACCCAGCATAGCCCGAGCTCCCAGAACCTTCCCCTGCAGTCCCAGCGACCAGGCCATGGGTATCCAACATCTACCCTGGCAGCGAGGCCTGGGTGCTACCTGGACATTTTGAGTCACTGCTCAAATGTTTGCCATCAAGCTGTGTCAGTCAAGGCATGGTGATCTAGCCTCAATTAGTTTGGTGGTTACTCCAGGGGTCCTCTGCCCACTGTGACCCCTCAGCCAAGTGCATACCATGCCAGAAACTCATTCAATCTTTTATAGCATTTCTTGTGCTGTTTTAATTTGTCTTCACTTCTTTCTCTCCAACTCAACTCATTTCTCAGCACCTAGCACAGTCTCGGACCAGGTTTAAAGGCTCGGAACAGATGAATGAAATGAACTCAGTTGGCATGTGGGGAAGAGAAAGGACCACTCAGACAGATGAAGCCAGGAGTCTCCCGCCTCAGGTTCTTTTCCCAGTTTAGTTAGTCATGGTGACCTGTACTCAAGTATGTAACTTCAGAGGGTGTCCCCTACTTACTATTAGCCCACCCCCATCTGGACTGCTCTGATGACCTCTACCTGACTCTGACCCACTCATAACCCCAAAACCCCTTCATGCATATCAATATCTAAGCATGACCCTGTGCAGGTACCTGCTATTCCGCCATCAGTTTGGAAGCTCCCTGAGGGCAGAATGGGCCTCCTTCCTCTGTTTGCTCTGGCATTCGAAGCATTTTCAGAGCATGCCTCTAAAATGCAAGTTCTTAGGAGCCGGCATTGGTGGAGTAAAGCAGTTGCGACCTCGACCCAAAGTTCCCTGTCGGTGTTTCTGAATGAAGCTGTAGCAGTACCCAGGGGGATTCAGCTACACCCCTCCAGCTCCCCTCCAGCTGGGGGATCTGATAAGCTGAATCTCACCTCCTCCCTCACCCTTTTCCTGACAGTCAACTTGAGAGTCAGCTCTGCTACCATTCCTAATGACATTGACCAAGCCCTCTTCCCAGCCATTGAGGAGGGGGCTGACACCCCAAGAATTTGAGATCCTGCTGTCTGATTACCTGTCTCTCTTTTCCATGATGCTGGGACCTCTGAGAGTTTCAAGTCTGCCTTACTTTTCCTCTCTGTAATCTCAGAGCCTAGCAGAGCAGCACAGTGAAGGGCTAACTGGATATCTGCGAAATGAATAAGTTACAGATCCAGATTTCAGTTCCTCTTGTTTCTTCCCTCCCCCAGCACCCACCCCCAGCTGAACAGGCTGAGAGCTGAACTTCTCTGCCTCCCCCTTTCTCACCTAAAAATGTCTTTTTCTAAAGTCAAAGGTCAGATCCTTACACACCTTGGATGGTCTTAAAGATCTTAAACTCTTGGATGGTCTTAAAGATCTCAGTATACTTCTGGCCTCCCAATCAGCCTGAGGGAGAGGCCTGGTACCAAAGGTAGGAAATAGGTTGCGACAGAGTAATCAGAGCCTTGGAATCCTGACTCTCAGTCATTGCAAAAATAGGACCCTCCTCTGATCTGTCCCACTCGGAAATCCAAAGCCAAAACAAAACCCCCAGGTTTAAGCCATCTCCACAATGTGCCCCTGAAAGGACCAGCCCTTGAAACACATACAGTCTTGTGCAGCCCACAGGGAGCCCATAAGGCACAAACTGGCAGGTCTTGTCCCAGCTCTCTGGGGAGCTGGCTTTTCTCTTTGTCCCTTGGTTTAGCTCCCCGTAGCCTTTGTGATGCCAAACAAGAGGGCAAGGGGTGAAATTCGTTGGGCAAAACTGGAAAATATGTACGCTGTTATCAGAATCCCCCACTTAACCTGAGCCCCAATCAAGCACTTCGACGTCAGAACCATAATCCAATCAGCTCTCGACAACAGCTGCAGGTGATGCCTCCTCCCCGTACCAGGAAAAGCTGGCAGCCCTGAGCCACTGATGCCAGGGGAAGCTTCCGCCCCACCCCCACCCATGATGGGGAGGGGACAGAGAAGGGTAACAATGCAGGGAGCAGCCAGTGCCCCAGATGCAGGAGCCCTAGGAGGCCCTGCCGGAGGCAGGTAGAGAGTTGCCACGCATCATCTGAAAGAGTCCAACTGTTCAGATTTCCAAAGTGAGGGAGCCTTGCAGAAAAGGGACAGGATCTGTGGGCAGTTTGCTCTTCACCTTCCAATTTAAGCCTCTGAGTTTCAGCTGAGGTCCCCAAGACAGGAAATGGGCTGTCATTTTCTGTTTCACAGTGGCAAACACAAGTTCTGGAGCTAAGTGTTAAGTCTCTTTCTTCCTCGGTATCATTGTCTCTCTCTCTCTCTCTCCCTCTCTCTCGCTCTCTCTCCACACATACACATGCCTTCAGCTAAATCCAAAGACTAGGGGGAGAAATTGCTCCCTCAGAAGTGCCAGCTCCGTCAGGGTAAAAGGTAGAATGTATTCCATGGGTAGTAGACCCTCATCTCCTTCGACTCATTCTGCAAGGCCAATCCTCCTCACAATAGAGGGGCACCGACCCCTGCCTGCCCTCCTCTACCAGTCCCACCTCCACAGCTGGTACAGCCCCCTCCCCAGGGCTTCCATCTCCAGGCACATTTTCCCTGGGCTTCTACTTATGCTTAAAGTTTTACAGGTTCTGAATGTGCCCATCTCTAGCCCCATCGAAACCATTCAACTCCTGCCCAACCAGTTCTCAAAGCCCTGCGGCCTGCCCTTGCCTTGCTGGAGATTTGACCGGAGCCCAGCAGGGCTCACCACAGTTCCAAGGGTAGATGAGACACACCAGGCCCTCATGCCAGGGAGACAGACAGGCAGAAAAGGGGCATTGTCCACTCCTCCAGACTGAGGGAAGAGGCATCTCTGCCCAGCACACACGCACACACACACACACACACACACACACACAGCCCATGCCAAAAACCAAGGAAGGAACCAGAAGCAGACCCTGGCTCAGGGCAGCAGAGGGGCTGCCATGGGGACCAGAGTCTAGGTGATTCAGCACTCTGCCCACTCAGCCCAGCCCATGGGCCACACTCATGACAGCTCCCGGTGCCAAAGTGCTGACTTAGAGGCTGAGGAAGAATCCTTTCTAAAATCCAAAATTTTCTAGCACTCCAGCAGGGGTTCTCACCCAGGCCTTTTACACCCCAAGGCTGAGAACGAGGCCCAGGATGAGCCTACTATCTGTCCCCTTGGACCCTGCACCTCTCCAATCCTAGTTTCCCTGTGCTCAGCACCCCTCCCAAGTCCATCTAGGAAACAAACCTAAACAGCCTGAGAAGAAGGATGGCTGGAGAGGAACACAGAGGCCTACTAACCCCCAGTCTCCCTCCTCGTCAGCCGTGGACAGGATCAAACACGCAGAAATGGGTGAAAGTGGGTTGTGTCCACAACAGAAAGTACATTGGGCCTTTGAAGCTGGAGGCCGCCCTAAGCAGAGAAGGAGGGCTAGGGCCAGTAAGGAGCTGAGGACAAGCTGTGGGGCTCCAAGCAGCAGTGGGACAGGCAGGTGGAGAAGGTGATGTGGCGGGCCATCTGAGAGCCTGGGGACTAGGTGGGGTTCTTGAGAGGGACCATGGTGCAGGAGAGGAAACCAAGAGGCAGCTGGGAAGAGGCTGGGACAGGGTGTGCAGAGGTGAACTGGGGGAGGACAGAAAGGGTGAGGGAGCTAGTGGGGAGACAGGCACTCAGCTGAGTGACTGGGGGGGCAAGGGATGGGGAAGAGATGGGGGAGGGCAAGGAGAGGGGCTGGTGTCAGGGCAGGAGAAATAGGAACGAATAGGGTGATAAAAAGTGGGGTGTTGAGGAAAACAGAGGTATAAGGGCCAGCAGGGCTCATAGATGAGATGGGGACAGAGAAGAGAGGGGAAAGGGCGAGGATGCAGGAAGGGGGAGGGGATATTGCCAACGAGATGGAAAGGGTGTTGGGGTGAGGAGAGGGTAGGAGCTGGATGATGTGAGGGTGCGCTGGAAACATACAAGAATTGGATGATTCGGGACAGATGACAATGTGGACAGGAGAAGGCATAGGGACGCGGACGGAGGGGGATGGGGTCAGGTCGGAGGATGGAGACGGACAGAGGAGGGCGGGAACAAGGGGGTGTCGCTAGATGGGTTTCCATGATCCCCGTTTTACCATTTTACTTCCAGCCTATCTCTCGGGTGTCCGCGCTCCCCTACCTCCAAGGGCTCAGGCTCCGGCCCCGGGCGCAGTCCGAGCTGTCCGCTGCCGGCGCCGCCACTTCCCCCACGTCCCCTGCAGCGCCGCTCGTCGCCAGCCGCCGCATTAGGGCAGAGACTAGCCCGTGCGCGTCCCCGGGCGGCCGGCGCGCCCCCGACAGCCTGCGTGCGCGCCCCCGTGCCCCTCCCTCCGCGTGGCGAGAGCCTGCTGAGCCGGGACCGGAGCACCGAGGAGGGAAGGAGGCTCAGGGCGCGCCCTGCCCTGCGCGATAGGGAGTAGTTCGCGCAGCCTGGACTGCATGAAACCGTCCTTTCTCTTCTCAGCCAGCTCTGAGACCTTTTTGCAGACTGAAAATAATACTCAGTGCACGGTTCCATTCGCTGAGCGCCTACTACGTGCTGACTACCCAGAGTATCTGTCCTGTGTATACCCCTTCACCAGAAGACGGACGGTGACTCCTTGCGGGCAGGAATTTGCTGGACAGATCGTGTTCCCAGGGTGTAGCACCGAGACTTGCTTAAGGTAGACGCCTCAGGAATGTTTCTTGATTAAGAGTTGCTGGATCTGAATCGGGCGCAATGGCTCACATCTATAATCCCAGCGGTTGTGAGGTTGAGGCAAGAGGATGGCGAGTTCAAAGCCATCCTCAGCAAAAGCTAAGCAACTCAGTGAGACCCTATCTCTAAAGAAAATGCAAAATAGGGCTGGAGATGTGGCTTAGTGGTTGCTGGATCGGGAGTTGGGGCTGTGACTACTGCTGGTAGTCTTGGAATCTTCTTTTTAAAATGGGAGGTTTTTACCCACCCTAGGGAGACTCAGACCCCTGTCCCAGATTTGAGTTAGGATGGAAAAAGCCTGGGACTTGAAAACCAAAGATTCAGATGTCCGTCCTCTCTCTGTAACTGTCACATGAGCAAGACACTTCTCCTGGGTTTCTTCAAAGGAGCCATGAAAAATTGATTGCATGATTGTCCCAGGACGCTTCTAGCTTTGACTTGAAGAATCCATTAGGCCAGGGCTAATGTGCACGCATAGAGACCCTGGCTTAGAGTTACCACCTGAAACAGTGGAAAGATCCCAACTGGGGAATCAGAATCTTAGTTTTGGAAGAACTTCTAGTTCAGCTCCCCATCCAAACTACAGTCCCGTCTGAGGCCCCATTCAAAGCAGCGCTGCACTCCCCTGCCTCTGTGCTCAAACAGCTCTTATCTAGGGACCACCTGGCTGCCTCTCTGTCTCCTTCTCCAGTTTGTAAACTCTGAATAGAAGAATGCATCTTGTTCTCTATATTATCCCCCTCAGCACATTGTAGATGCTCAGTAAATACTAGCAGAAGGCAAGCATGACTACTAATGATAGATGAATCATCCAGGTAACTGATAAAATGTTCTTCTCTTTGATTAGATTATTTGAAACCTACAGGAATTTGGGCAAAGACTATCCATTAGGAAAGGGAGGAGGGCTGACATGGCAGGACCTGAAAGCAAAACTGCTTCTGGTATCAGAGACTTTGGGCAAAGATTTTCTGCAATGCGCCTGTCTATACAATTTGAGCCACTCAAAATCAGCATCTCAGCAGCACCCTGGTGCCGGATCTCCTACAATCCTGTGAATGAAACAGTATACCCTGGAGCAGAACAACCCCATTGTATCCATTCTGGAGTTTCTCAAGAAACTGGTCAACCCCAACCAAGGGGGACAGGAAGGAATTTCCAGGGAATGTCCAAGGAATGAAGGGAAGAATTTGGAAACTGGGGTCACTGTCCAGATGCCACTCCTGGTCCTGGCAGGTCCTGGACACTGGAGGATCATTTGGAAAACATTTAAAAAGAAAGACACTTAAAAGCACCAAGGCACCTCAGGTCTGGATCTAGGGCAGGGCTTCTCCTTATTGAAAGTGACTCCATGGAATAAAGAAAACAAATCTCTCTTCCTAAGCACCTGTTGTATGTCAGCTGCTTCTAGTGCTAGGAGGTAGATCCGTTATAGGTGGTATTGCACGGCGGCTGTGCCATCAACTCCAGAAGCACCCTACAATTCTGTCTCTACCGTATCAGAGCTGGGTAAACTTGGGCAATTTATTTATTTTCCTTTTATTGCTTTTTAAAACTATTATCAAAGCTCTACAAACACATAAATGAATCCAGGTCCCATCATTCTACAGGATTTTTTACAAAGTACATTTTCCCCATGTTTTCTCCAGAAGTTATCCCTTTCCATTCTTTTGAGCTGTTTTTATGGCTATGGCCTCCATATCTCTAAATAATATGCCGTATTGCTACTTCTTGCTTTTTCTGTTTGGGCACTGACTCTTGACTTCATCCTATGAAGGACAGTCTTTCATCTTTCACCTTCCCCTTGACCTTACATTAACTCTTTTTTCTTCCCTCCCCTTGCCTCCCAATTTAGTCACATCTTGGTGTTGGTTATATCAGAATTAGTATCTATTATGACCGCTTAAATCCCATTCACAACTGATCATTTAGTTTCCTGAAATCTTTTTGTTTTTCCTGGAGTTAATATTTGCCATTTTTTAATTTGTTTTGTTTTTATGTACAGTACCTATAGTTTAAGCCTAAGTTGTCCATTGATCGTCTATGACAATACATTCACATCCATCAGGTATTCTACTGATTTCACTTTCTTGAAGGAGCTCTTCTGAAGCTTTTTGATGTGTTCCAGTTTTCTACTGGTTCTTCCATACCCACTGCCCTGCTGTTTCGGTTTCTTCATCTGCAAAATGGGGATAATTATAGTACCTTACAGGGCAGCTGTAAGAAAAAATGAAATAATTCATGTAGGACAAGGTTTGCCCTATAACAAGGATAAACTCAATAAATGTTAACCATTGTTATTCTAGATGGGAAAAATCAAAGCTCAAAAAACCTGCCCAAGTAACAATTTGAAGCCCAGATGTGTCTAAAGTGCCTACTTAAAACTGCTTTGCTATTTTAAGATAGGCCCTAAAATTTTTAGATTCACAAATACTAGAATATTCCGATATGGTCAAGTTGAAGGAAAACACGTTTTGCTAGGAAAGTTCTAGCAAACAGTGAACTTGGGCAGCCCCTGTAACTTCTTTTTCTTATCTGTAAAATGAGGTTAAAGTGAGAATCAATGAAATAAGGCACTTTGTAAACAAAAATCATCTGTTATCAAGTGTTAGTTATTGCCCAGTACCCCTTCCCTTCTTTCATTTTTGTTTTTTAACAGCAAAGAAAAACTGAGGCCCAGAGTAGTGAAAGATCACGTGGTAGTTTGGTGGTTGGAACTGAACTGGAACTCAAGTCTCAGGGTCCTGGTGTAAAGAAATTAAATCTGGGCCTGAGAAGAGCAGAAACCCTCAGAAACCCCCAGGGTGAAGGAACAAGAGCTTCCTTGGCCTTCCTTGGTATCCGGAGTCACAGGACTTTCTGGCTCAGAGGAGGGGGCTGCCTGGTAGGCAAATATGAGTCCTCCTCCAAGTTGTTCTACTCATGTGTCCGGGACATGCACAGGTATGCTGAATGCTGAGGGGCAGGGCAGGGCCTCAGCAGTGCCTGTTACACCCTCTAAGCCATCTTCTTCCACATGATTCCCAGGAGGTGCAGGGAGTGAGGCCGACTCATGCATTATAGGCAAAGAGTTAACCTGGTTTGGCCTTTTGGGAGAACAATTTGGCAGAACCATCAAGACTTTTAATGAATCCATAAGCGCCACCTCTGAGAATCTGGCCTGCAGACACACAGGTATAAGCCACAGAGATGGGTAAGCACAGGATACTCAGTGCAGCCCACGAAGAGGGCAACGAGTAAATGAATTATCATGAATGCAGTGGAGAAGTATAACGTTTCTTTTTAAAGATGATAATGTACACACAAATCTTTTAAAGAGAAAATGTAATTAAGAGGAACTTAAGGGGTGAGAAAGGCCAACCTGAGCTTTTGGGTGAAGGTCTTCTGGGTTTTTTAGGGTCAGAGGAATCCTGAAACCATAAATCGCCCACGTATGCTTTGAGATATGCTGTCTTTTTTTTCTCCCTAGAGGCCCTGAAACTACCCTAAAATTGAACATATTATAGAACAGACCTAAGTCCTACAGTAGCAGAGGTTGCATAGAATTATGTGTGTTCTGGGAAGAACCTTTGACTTGTGAGCTGTCCTATTCAGGATGACTGTATTGCCCGTTATGATTTTGAATACATTGGTGGTGTTGTAATGCGTCCTGGACCCTCAATGGAGCCAGAATTTACAATTCAGATATTGACTTTGCAGAAAAATCTTAGCTGTCATGTTTATGGTATCCAAAGGGGTGACATTATGATTGCAAAAAGCTCAAATGATCCAAAATCAAATATTTGTAAGAGTAATTGCTTTGAAAGGAAACAAAAGCCTCACCACCCAACATTAGATTTTTTTTAAAGGCCATGTTAAGTGCAGGTCATATTTGGTTGAAATCATCTACAGGATTCTACAGATTCCAGGTAGTATGTGAACCTATTCTATATGGACTAATAAGAGGACGAATCTTCTTTAAGACTTGTCTTCTGAGTGATTTTGGATATCTATATGATAGCCGGAGTCACCACAAATTTTCTGATAGTTAGGAGGCATTTATTCTTTTGACATGATTGTTGTCACCTGTTCAAGTGAATTTATTAATTCAGTTGAAACTACGTACTTATCAGTAAACTGCTTGCTATTTAAAACTAGAAAATGCAAATTAGTAACAACATGTAGGGTACTTTATTTTTCTGGGAGACAAAATAAAAGCAAGTTAGGATAAGGGATGGGAAGAAGAAAGAGGGCACAATGCTCTGAGCTAGTTTAGGAGATGAGTCAGAGTAAGGTCAGGAGGGAAAATGGCTGGACACACACCTGTAATTCCCTTGGAGGCTGAGGCTGGAGGATGGCAAGTTTGAGGCCAACCTGGACAACTTAGTGATACTTTGTCTCAAAAAAAAACAAAAACAAAAACAAAAAACCAAATCAAACAAAAAAACAGGGCTGGGGATGTAGTGGTAGATGTGCCCTGGGTTCAATCCCCAATATGGTAGGAAAACCAAAAAAAAAAAAAAAAAAAAAATGGAGAAAAAGATTAGGAGGGAGATCATTTTGTTGAACCCTTTAATATATAAGACCCTTC